ACTGTTGTCTGCGATTAGTTACGACTCAAATTTTCATCCTTTATGCAAGTTTTGTATTTTGTTAATTCAAAAATTGCAGTCTTTCAATATGCTACTCGTTACTGTTTTTACATTGTTTACGGTATCGAATGCAGCTAAAGTTATTTTCAATGGTATGCACTCGTCTGACAGTCATGTTGCTAGCATGCTACCGTTGGCCACGAGGTAAGATCCCGCACCCATTATACAGAGTGTCCCATAATTAATGCAACATTTACCGTGTTACTTCTCCAAAAGTTGGTCTAACTTCAATGGTTATGCACAAAGTATGCTCAAGCACTTAAGTATTACAAGTGACGACATTCAATGTGCCTTTCCGTCGCCATGACTACCGCTCCAAGACGGTATCACAATAGTGAACGACATTTGATGTGCCTTTCCGTCGCCATGACTACCGCTCCAAGACGGTTGGGATTCACGTGTGCTGTGGCCGCGCATGGTCTCCTAAGCTGTCCTCTCTCAAACTTTTGCATGGAGAGGGCATCAGCTCTTGCATGTTAGCGCAATTATTTTTACACCCAGGCTCTCTCCACTAAGATAATACAAGGGAGTTTATCCGGTTTCAGCATTGAGATCAAAGAACTAGAGAGCATTCGTTTGAAAATTGTGAAGTCGAGAAGAATTGTCGTGACAGCGGTCCTGAACATTTCTCGCCCTTTTTGCAGGAACGCAGCCCTGTTGAGAAATCCACCATTCCTTCGTTAGGTAGCTAGTAATCTTAGTAACTGATGCTGCTCTGGAAAAATCCCAATCTGATGTGGGCGTTGAGATTTATGCATTTAACAATAGGCACAAGTGGATAGCAACCGTGAGTCGAGATCCCATTTCGGACTATCACAGGATTGGTCGCTGCTTGCAGAGAAACCACCATTTATGTTTCGCCGGCTTCCACAGGAGGTCGAGTGTGTTACTCTGAAGTTTGACGGGTATAGCTTTCCTCCACGATAAAAATTTTCACGTCGGAAACATGGTCCAAAGGTGATCGTCTTCTGCGACCCTTTCCACTAGCGCTTCACACTTTGCTCTTCTGTTCGCCTTCCGTGCTTCTGTTAGCCATGATTCTCGAGCATCGAACAGGGATGCATGTCCTTGTAGAACAATTTCTTACATGCTCATGCTTGAAACTCACAACTCTCAAGCCATCTTTCTTTTGCTTTTACGGTATTGTGGTCGACTCGTTCCTTCACGATTTTTTTGGAGAAAAAAATTGTGAAACAAAACGACCACGATACCGTGAAAGATCAAAATGTGGAGAAGTGAAGATATGGAACGGAGCAGCAAGCCATCCACTGCTCCTCTCTTCTATGCACTGCAGATTGTGGACCGATGCAATTTCAAAAGACGAGCAATGTTTGTTTGAGAATGTCCTGCCTCGCTCAGAGAGGAATAGCAGTTCTATTTGGGTTCGGCACACCCTGGAAAGCTAACGAGGAGCCGTGAAATTTGACAAGCTTATCGAGAGGAATATGGGGGAAGTGCTGATATGCCAATCGTAAAAAAATCAGTAAACACGAATGAAAATGGTGGGCTCAATTTGTTGCAATAATTGTAGGAACACCCTGTAGCTATATACTGCTTCTATACGCATATACTTGATATTTTTTGCTACTAGTTCTATTGGGTTGATCCATAATTCCTGGCCGAATTTTTTCAGAATCAATTTTCTTCATGTCAAATTAGTGTCATTACGAAATAAGTTAGTATGTTGAAGGAGGCATCAGTACCTTAAACTAGGATGTTCCAGAAGGTCAAAGGGCAGTGGAAAAGATCATTGAAAGAATAAACCTGTGCAGTTGAAGATGCAGTAAGTCAATACAGCGCTGGGTTCGCATCAGTATGTGGTTATCGGGCAATCTGGGCTGGGCTGACAAGCATCGGCAAAGCCGATCGATTACAACTGCAAGTTTTGACGCTCAGTGTGCGGCCCAGTCACTTCGATGAGATCCATTGCAGCTGTGCGGAAGTTCACCGGCGATCGCTACACTGAGATTATGTAGCAGATACACTGGACACAACGAATGACCAAACGCAAAGTGTCTGATAACGGGCTGTGTGATAGCGAATGAAGTTTCGTGTAAACGACTTTGTCTTCTGACTCAAAAGAACAGTAAGCGGACCTGACATCTGCGAAATTTTATTTCACTCAGGATCTAGGCTGACTTACATAGTCGTTCAACATGGAGATGAATTATGAGCTCCAATACGTATAACAACACGCGGGCGACCTTATGGCTACTCGAAGCTGGATCACTAATCTCACCCGAAACCCGTACCCTCTTCTGGCAGAGATATTTCTCATTTGTAGGATTGGTCGGGTATCCCCACTTTGAGAACCGCTTCATCTTATATAGACAACCACTGCGAAGATAACCATGGAATAACTCCCGAGGTTGGCCGCAGCAGTGCGAGAGAACCATTCGAAACGTCTCAAAATCTCCTTCCTCCGGATGAACGCCCGACCTTACATTGCGAAGATAACTCGCCACCTTCTGAGGGAAACTGGCTGGATCGCGATACCACATCTATCGTATAGCCCTAACATTACTTCATCGCACTATCCCCTTCTCGATGCCCTGAAGCAGTACCTTCGAGAGAAAGGGGTCACTGAATACAACCACCCAAAAAACGACCTCTCCGAACTCTTCATCCCATAGCTCCACTCGTTTTGAGAGGAATGCATCCATTCGCTGCCTAGCAAATGAATGCATATCAGCGATTGCGACGGTGGTTATATTGTTGATCAGTTATTCTCCAGGAAAGAAAAAACTCAATGAAATTGGGCCAGAAATTATGGTTCAGCCCAATATTGACGAAGACTGGCTATAACATCAATGACCAGTGTAAATTTGTTAGGTGGAATGTGAAGCTCGACCATGAACATAAAAATTGGCAGTAAGTCAGACTGCCAGGATGAGCCAGATGGCTGGCTACCTGCTTTGATCACCTGCGAACATTAAATTGAAGGTTATATTACTCCGAAGGTGCTCAAATGCTAGGCTATATACTTATCACGTAATTGACGTTTGGGCAAAATCCAGTAATGAATACAATAAATAAGATATATACCAGTTGGCGCCGCACGCATTGCGCGCGCAACACAGATCTGCGGCGAATTTTGATGGTGCGACGAAAATTTTCAAATTTGGCTTGATACACCACGAATATCTGAATTCTCAGCTAAATTCTATCCGCTCCATCATCGACGGCTTTCAACCTCTTTTTCTTCGTCAACCATTATCCTCTTTTCCGGTCTCCGGACTGCTTCCGGACAATAAATCTCGTGGCAAACTCCGCCTACTTCGGTGCGTGCCCCGCCCACCAATAGCATTTGGCCCCCTTCCTTTCGCCGACCTCTACCCCTTTTTTCACCGGTCTCTGGGACCTCTTGGAACCAAATTACGACACTTTTGGCAAACTCCGCCCACTTAGGTGCGTGCTCTACCCACTAATAGCAGTTGACCTCTTTTCCCTCGCCAACCTCTAACCCCGTTTTCCCCTATCTCTAGGACTTCTTGGAACCGAATTGCGACACTTTTGGCAAACTCCGCCCACTTAGGTGCGTGCTCCGCCCACTAATAGCCTTTGACCTCCTCTACTCGCCTTCCTCTACCCCCTTTTCCCAGCCTCCGGACTTCTTGGAGCCGAGTTATGAATTTTCGTCGCAAACTCCGCCCACTTTGGTCAAGCCCCGCCCACCATTGACAGCTGGCCTCCACTCCTCCATACACCTCTATCCACCTTTTTCCGGCTCTTTAAGACTTCCCCGACCCGAATTATGAGGGCTTGTAGAAAATGCTGTACACTTCAGAGCGCGCCCCGCCCATTCTGGGCGGGCCTCCGCCCACGTCATGTATGCAGGAACCACCTTAGACATTGTGACCCTGTCCTATCAAAGCTGTTGGAGCTTTCTGCTCTGTAGGCTTTCTCCCAGCCGAGTTTATGAAATTTTTCATAAAGCACTGCTTTTTTGGAGAACGCCCCGCCCACCGGGGTGGGTCTCCCTAATTCGATGTGACTCACCAATGCACACCCTTTACCCACTTTTTGGCCCAGTTTCGAGGTCGTTTTCTAAGAGAATTGAAAATCTCGGTCGTCAGTACACTTCATGTCGACGCACGCCACGCCCACTGTGGGCGGGGCTCCGCTTAGCTGATGTGTGTTTTGTACTTCGTGAGACCTTGCCCACCCATCCCACACTTGACCCGGTCCCTCCAGGCGGATCCCGAGGAGCTAGGGAATTTCGTGACAGACATACAGAACGACAGACGACAGACGACAGACGAAGCGCTTTATAGTTATAGCGAAGTTAATGATTCTCGATTATTTTAGTGGACATCAATAAATGGTGATGTACCCTCAGTCACGTACACAGTACGTCAGACTATAAATTAGCACAGACTATAAGAAAGAGGAAAAACCTGGAAAACCAAAAAAATGACCAAATTTTCTTCCGGAAAATCATGGACCTCAGAAAATGTCTTTCCGCGAAACACTGCTTCCTTCTGTACCGGTTGCGTGCAACGTCATTTGATTTTCAAACTCTGTGCCGTTCTCAACAACGATCGTAAAATGATGTCACTGCTTTGGCCCTGATAAGGTCGTCATGCGGAAGACAGTGTGCGCTTGTGGCAAACGGCGCCGCTGCGTTTTGCCCAGTCTGGTTACCATCATACGCTGTCTAACAATGCCTTAAAGGAATCTTCCACGGAAAAAGCTCCGCCTCCATTACCACAGAAAAACGATACCTTAGGCCCTAGCCTCATGAGCATAGCAAAAAGAACGGAACATAAGCGTTAGTTTCGATAATACTAATCCTACACACAAGACAAAATGATCACTCTTTCCGTGGAAGATTCCTTTAAGGTATCGTTTTCTGTGGTAATGAGGGCGGAGCTTTTTCCGTGGAAGATTCCTTTAAGAAACTCCGGGCTCGTCCTGATGCCATCACACAGCGTGACGGTATGGAAGAACAACTGGTAAAGAAGCTGCTCTCGCATGAAGTACCCACTGGAATGAGGTTTTTATTCCAAACTGGTATCGGGTATTTGTCGTACCTTGGATGGCGCTCATCAATACTATCTCTTTCAAGCCCCCCGGATTTCAGGTTTTCATTTAGTAGTTTCAGTTAGATTGTTGAAGAGCTGGAATAATACGCTCAGCATAAATGCGTGCTTCTGTGAAAGATTGTGATGATGAGGCTCCAGGAGCGGCTTCTCCTGCATATCATACTATTAAATACAATGAAAAAAAAAGTATGTGAACAACTCAAAATTTTTCTCCCATGAGATACCTTAAACGTCTGCACCATGAGGCCGATGAATTTCTCGCATGCTAAACCTTAGAATTTCTCATTTTTCACCAATTCACATGCAGCTTTAGTTTTTCAGTTGATGGGAGAACTTTACCCCGTCAAAAGTATGTGAACACTTTTCGAAAAACAGAACTATCCTCAATTTATAATAATCTAAAATCGGCAACCCCCAGAGCCTCTGATGAGTTTCTACGTCTTATTTGGAGTACTCTGAACCAGGATTCCAATAACTGTCTCGTCGACCTGCTCCCAACCATCCAAACTCACCCGGTTGTCGACTATTCTTTTTGAGTTGTAAAGGCATTTGTTGGGGTTCACCGGTCTTTGTAATCTCACTATTCAGCTGCAATCCTAACCACAGTGGACCTGGCTAATAAACGTCTGTATAGAAGGAGAAGTTCTCCCTCGGTAACTGGCGAACACCCCTGCTGACGGGTACCCCTTGAATTTGTTGATTTTTCAGCCTTTTTTGGTCGATCCAGCCACCTGTGCTCTAGCGTGGAGTTGACATAGAGTCATCACTTCTTAAACGCAGCAACGACGTTATTCTGCTAGTTTGTACGACGAGATTGAAAAAGAGATGTAGGCTGCGCTCTGTCGCACTCCTGTACATGAGGGAATCCTTAGCAGAGCTTCAGCACCCTTAACACGTTGACGACCCCACACTTTCACATGGAGCACACTACTTTTCCTTAATTTATTTGGCGTTTTTCCCTGTTCTACAACGGTCCATGTACATTATTGGATCCGGAAAACAATTTTTTCATTACTGATAATGAAAACGCTGAAGGATTAATGCCTATTGATGAGAGAATACGAAAAATGTTGAAGCAGTACGCGCACAACTGGATCAAGTGGACTGAATAAATTGGACTTAAATACGGAGCCAATGCACATTATCCTCCGGAACAGGGAAACATTTTCTCTGAAATCTACATTTTGACATAAATGAAGCTGGTCTTATTGATGATCTGTCTCACGTTTGGGTAGTGTGACTAAGCTCATCTTGGTGAAGTTTCAAGAGGAATTTGAAGACGTGAATAGCCTAAAGTTCGACTCATATAACTTAGTTTAATTTTTCTATTGAATTTCGAAGAAATTCCGATGACACCGTTATCCCTAAACAAATCAGAATGACTGTTCTTAGCGCACGACAGGCGACAACACCAAGATGTATTGTAAAGCAAATGTTTCGTGTGGATTTGATCGTACTCTAGTGCAGTAGAAGGACATGAAGAAATACACTTCAAACATGGTTCTCACCTTTCCTAATTCTCGAAAACTCGAATGAATGGTGTGAATCCGTCTGAGGTAGTGCCCTCTCTACAGCCTACGTAAGCATCATTAGAAATAGGTAAAGGAAGTTCTGACGCGCTTTTGGCTTATATTTTCGTCGCAATGATTTTCCCAATAACTTTCGATCCATCCAAATATTCTACCTAATCTTTATATGTTTGAATATTTCTCCAGCACATTAGAATTACCTTTTCAGGCTGGTTCAAGCGCAGCATAATGTGCATTTCTTGGAAACGAATACTAAACCATCACATTTTGAGTATCCGAGTAATATTACTTTCACCCATCTCGAACTGCACAGTAAGTTTATTGCTACATGATGTACACGCCCTTTCATCTAAACTTTTTTTTGAAGAACCTATTAAGAACTTAACCTATTTTTTCAAAGAAGATCCATATTTCGTCACTCACGTGATCAAGGCAATGTGGACAAAAGATATTCAGCCCCATAGATTTCCCAAGATATTGGGAAGTTGGCGATAAAGCTCTTGTGGAAATGCTGGATTATCATCCAAGAGAAGTATGTTTATTTTTGTATCCCCTCATTCTTCAATGTACGTGAAATCGCTGAGCACCGTTCGGTGAACCAAGTTCAACACGAAAGTCGTATGTGCGATATTTGGAAAGTTCGTGTTTTGATTCTTGTGCAGTGTATCTGTGCGAAGGGCTTAGTATCTAAAAATTTCAGTAAGGTCGTTGTGATGGAGGTTGGCTATGCTGCAGTGGAGAAGTGATTCGTTTCTGATGTGTTTTTGACGGTTCCGGCGAAACTTCAGTAAGGATGCGGAAATGGAGAAAATTAGCGAACATCTACTTTTTTTGCTCTACTTTCTCAACGGGGGTTTTGGGAAAAGGAGTGGGCGAAGATGGAGTGAGCCGACTGGTCGGAATCAAATGTTATAACAAACAGGCCATGGTGGTGAAGGTGCCTTTAGGGGTGGTTAGTGGGGTCTGGGAACAGGGTCAACCGTCCGTTGGACAAAGTCCAACGAGGGGTGGGGGTCGTATTTGGGGGAAAAGGGGGGTCCGTATTTTGCGAGGTAGCGTTAATGTTACAGTAAGGGAAGGGATGATTTTTTATGGAACGGAGAGCGGACTTAGGTTGTGGCTTGGGTTGAGTGTTGAGTGCGAAAAGAAAGGTGGGCGGAGTTGGGCTGTGTCGACTGGTCTCAGAATCAAATACTATAGAATCGCCCCATGATGGCGATGGCAGGCGAGGGTGGTGGAGGATGGTCGTGAAGGGTTAACCCTGAGGGGGGGGGTCGTATCGAGGCCCTCTAGAAGGGGGGGGGGTCGTAAAATTTTCGAAATTGGTCCAACGTGACGGTTGACCCTGCCTGGGGAACCTTCGCCATGACGAAGCATATTTGACCATTCCTTCGGTGTAGTTTTGTTGAAGCGAGGGATTACGATATGATTACGACTATGGTCGGTCAAACACTTGCAAAATGAAACCCCTTCAATTACTCGTTGACCGCCAGCGAGCCAACAAGCCTCATTTAACTGATAACGCATTCCACAGAAAAGGCATAAGATACACGCTCGACGCGGAATACTCCTCAAAAATGATGATACACTAATGGGTGGGCCGCAGGAGGAACAGAACGCAACTAGATTGGCAATCTCAGCGCGCTGCAACAGCTCACTTTGGCCGTTTAAAGGCCACATTTTTCTTTTTTTTTTCAGTACTTCGGTTCACTGCTGCTTCCACTGATACATGTACTCTGTGAAATTTAACACATTCACGACGACGCCCCTTTTCCACTTTTCGGTCGCGTGGGACGGACGCGATTTTGTGGGCGCCTCACCACATAACCGCAGATTTTGTTTTGTAAATGAACAAAAACATGAATGTCACAAAATAATTTCTGCAATGTCCAATGCGTAAAGATTATCTAAACATATAACAGTAGGATTTCGATCAGAACGACGAATAGTGGTTACGAAAAGAGAGCATCTACAGGGTGGGCAAAAATTACGGTAACAAAGTAAAACGGTAATAAAAAAGCAATGTGGTCGAGAAGTCCCAAATTAAAATTACAATCATGTTGGTGGAAGATTATCAAACAGAAAGCAATATTGAAGTGACCGCTTTCTGCGTTGAGAAATAAACGAAGATTCCCTACTAAGTCACTTACCCTGTTGTGTAGGTCGGTGTGGTAAAGTATGTCCAAGGCTTTCAGGAGCGACTGCTCGAACAGTCGATGCTCCTATTATGCTTATAGCAATGCTTTGCCTTCGGCACACTCAATACAGAAATTGTGGTAGGACTAGCGTTGGGAGAGCTATGTTGCCGCTTCCCCAGTATGATGATTTCCAAGACAATCGGGTTGCGTCGATTTTTGGGCAATTTCTGCATTGTGAATGGGCGCCCAATATTGCTCTGATGCCCTGTGTTTCCCATTGAAGGTCCTTACGGTATGAAGCATCAGCCGAGGTAGAAGGAGTTCGAAATGATTTTTACTATCCAGTTTTCTATCTTGAGCAGCAGAGGTCCGATGTGTCTTCGAATCGTGATTTCTGCGAAAGCCATCACTGAGTGGCTGAATGGCATTTCACTAGCATTGGTCCAGTTGCCCTTTTTATTCCAGAGTGGCCAGACAGCAGACCATCTTCCCACTAAGGGAAGCGATCGATAAATAAAGCTCATGATACATGTTTATTTCATATACATCATACATGACGGAATCCGTACAGTGACTTGTAGCATCTTTGCTTTCTATTCAATTTTCCCGAATCGGTTGTATGTTAAGCATTTTCATGATTGTAATCCTTTTTGTTAAGACGTGTGTGAACAAATCGTTGCAAGGAAGTGCGCTAGATAGCAGTTTCAGCGACAAAACGACGGAATGAACCAGCTAGCTTCCAGCGCTTGTTCGCACGTATCTTCGAGATATTACTCGTGAAGTCGCAGAAACAATCCTCTGAGGTCCAGGCCTATTGGCGCTGGTAACTAGCCTATTGAACTTCGTAATGGTGGCCGATGAAGGTTTCAAAGAGCTTCTGAACCCTCATGCAGTGCAACACAATCAAACAGTTCGTCGGAGCTAAGTAGTGATTGTTTCTCAAGGAGTTAAAACACTGTCCATCCCGGAGTGGATATATTTTATGTGACGAAATCAAAAAAAGAACACTGAGCTATCAAAACAAATGCATAGGATATACATCAGAAACTCCTGGTGTTTAAAATTGGGAAATTGACAGCAGCAAAATAAAAAACCTCTTTGTTTACAGACCAATTTTTTAGCCCATCCTGTCTTCACTCGCCCCGAAGGAAATTTAGAGAATTTAGGAACTCGAGTTACGCGATTGATAGCCTACGCTTCCGTCTTAGCGATTTAGCAGCGATCGTATTAGGCTGGCAGCCCATACGGGCCTGCCATTCGTCCCAGAAGACATCTGGTTGCAGCCATATGGGCAGCACCGGCGCCCAGTGTGTTAAGGTTTTGTGCAATCGATACAGGAAATAATGGATGCGAGACGAGCGCTCGCAAAAGCGCTCCTGCGCCAAGCGGCCAAAAAAGCTACAACACATGCTATCGTAGTGTGTTGAGTGCATACACGTAAGCGTAGTTTTGTACTGTTTTTACTCATCTATAGGTATGAAGAATTTCGCACGTGCGTTTGGCCATTTTGAGTGCAAGTGGGACCTTTCATTAGAATGAAACAATAATAATACCCTTTTAGACATTCAAATTAATGCTTTAGATGGACGCTGTTATGAACGAATCGTGGGATCTTGTGATTGCTGACGAACTATTCTCTGTAGCTTCTTATGCTCTTGCTATGAAAGGCACATGACTCGCGGAAAGGCCATTCGTAACGCTCAGCACATGTATCCCTACAAATCTCATAAAATATCATCTTGCACTTGGTAAGTGGGATCAAATAAAAAACCCACTAATTTAGTAAACAGATGTGTCCAGAAATGTAAGTGTCACCCCAGTGTCACAACATATTGGGTGTCCCATAATTCCTGTCCGAATTTCGACACTTTCTTCTCATCGAGTTTTATCTTCTCAAAAACCAATTGATCAAAAATATAACCATTATCATAATCACGATATGCATCCATTCACCAGGGAACCTTTGGATGCTTTCCTCCTAGAATGGGTGAAGCTATGAGCTGAAGAATTCAGCAAGGTCGTTTTTGGAGTGGTTGTATTTAGTGACTTTTTCTCTCGCCGCTGCTGCTCAAGGCACTGTGAAAGGGATAGCCCGATGGAGTGATGCCAGGGCTATACGATGGACATGGTATCGTGGTCCAGCCAGTTTCCCTCAGAACGTTTATCTTTGCAATGTGAGGTCGGGCGTCTATTCGGAGAAAGGGGATTTTGGGACGTTTAGGACGGTTCTCTCCCACTACTGCGGCCAACCCCGGGAGCTGTTCCACGATGGCATTCGCAATACTTGTCCGCATATAGCAAAACGACTGTGAAAACGGAAGACCCACTCAATCTAACAAATCAAAAGCAATATTCTCTGACCACGGAGTTTGGGCTTTTGTTGAGCTGGTGAGCCCTGGCTGCGAGGTAGCCATCAGGCGTGCTGCGTGTTGTTGTCGTAGTGAACTCATGACTCATCCCCACTAGTGATCAATTTTTGACTTCGGAGCTCCGTAACTCCATTTTGCTTCTGCTAACTAGTCGGGACGAAGGCTTTATTTCTGCTTGGCATGGTTCCATGATTCGACGCATTTCATACATTTCATATGATACTTTCAAATAAACTCGAATGCGTCGTCCAATATAAGCTTGTACTAAATTGAAAACGGTAAGAGTGGCATTGAAAATGATGAATAGTAATTGAGTAGCAGACTAGGAGCGTCCCTGCGATCATGATATATAAAACATGAACTATACGCAAAGGATCAAAACATCCTGGAACACCGGAAAAGCGAACGACAATGATTTAAGAAAATAACCATCGACAAAGGACCAAACATTCTGAAACGGAGGGAAAGCGAACGGTAATGTAGTAATGAGACCGAACAGATGGTGAACCATTCTTAGATCGGCGTCTTGCGAAAAATAGTCGGACTGGGCGATGTGCTATATTGAAATATTAGGCGTTTCAGAAAGTTCTGTCGTTTTCCGACCCCGAATTTTAAATGCATGTATCTCGGCATAAAGTAAACCTTTCAAGCTGATTAAAAAACCATTCGAATGCGCGAACCTTTCTCTATAAGGAACCATTCTACTGGGAACGCTTGTTCAGAATGCTGGAGCTGTGGAGGCGATGAACTGAGGGAAGGTCGTTTTAGCATCATGTTGGGTTTTGATGCATTTCTCTTCAAGGAAGCTATCGAGATCGTCAGAAATTGACAGTAGATAGACCAAAGGTCTACTAAGTAAGATGTTCGCAGAACACTCTGAAGTTCAGCTGGTACAACTTGTGAAGGGTTGGCGGTGCGATGTGCGTCCAAGACACCTTTCAGGGATGTGTCCACCCCTTTATAATGAGGAATGCTGGACACATGTCTTGGAGTTTTTGGTGAATTTTGGA